GGCCGAAGTCTGCAGAAGCTCCAGTTGATGTGAGTGGAACAGTATGAAAAAAGTTGGCATAGTCACGATCGAAGAAGATAGCTAGCAGCAGGGAGCGATCCATTCGGGAACTCTGCACGGCAGCTTAGGTTCTTTCTATGAATCCCTCAAAAGGTTCTATTATGTGGTGCTTTTCCGGCTCTCTTTCTGGTACCCCGTTCGGAGTGGCTCGAGACCCCCCCTGGCCCCCACCCACTCCTTACATGGAAGAAGTCTGGCTCCTCTGAAAATCTAACTCTTGCTGGAATCTAGCTGCTTTCTGCGACAATGGGTGAAGGATTAATTTTCGGTATTCTCCTAAGACGCCTCTCATAACGCTATCAATCACCGAAGTTTTTACCCGGATTGCTTTGCCAACCTGACAATGACGGTATCCATTTGATTGATGGCAGGCAGTACCCATTGTTGACTGGACCGAACTGCACCTGGTAGCCTGGCGGGCACTCCATGCTGAACTGCAGGGGTCTGACGGCGCCGGGTGCGGAGCGTGGGACATATGGCAAATTTATCGTCGTCGACAATTTTGCGCTCATTTTTGAAATTCATGTTTTCAAAAACTTCAACTTGACTTGATTTCATTGTCCAATCAATTTCACAAAAAACAAAAAACTGCCCTCTTTCTGCCTGCATTGAAGATATTTTGTGAAATTGATTGGAGAATGAATTAAAAGGCATATTCCACGATGCAAACCGAAATTGAGCCAACTGAATTACTGGTGAAGAAGAAAACAGAAAAGGCCGTCCTCTTACTGTTGATCGCGACCACTGAAGGAGCACGAGGTGATCAATGCTAAGTCCAGCTGTGAGATGTTAAAGGCAGTTGGCACGATGGTTTGGTGCTCGGCCTGAAATGCTAGTAGTAGGGAGCTATGAAATGGCGAAAGAACGGAGTGAAACGGTCAAAATCCTGCGAAGAAAGAGCCTCCGTTCTCAATGTGTTCAAAATTGTATACCAGGCGTATTAATCATACTCGTCTTGGGGGATTTATCGTGCCAACTGCCTTTAAAGGTGACGATGTACCGAACAGCGCGAAGGAGGCTAGAAAACGGTGGGCGACGAGGAGCATGATGGGGAAGGGACTGACATAGACCGCATAGGCCTAGAAGGTGAGGTAGCACACATGGCATGGGTTTGCTTACATAAGGAAGAGTTTGGACACTTTGATATTTGCGGAGTAAGCATTCAGAAGAGAGAAATCATAGTGATTCAGCATGTAGATTTATAGAATAGTGGAAATTAATAATTCCAGAATGGCGGAGAAGCTTCCGGATTTCAAGAACAGTCTCGCCTTGCTCGATGTGCTTATTGACAAGAAGGTTTGCTCTCATAATGAAACAACTAATTCTTTTATCACAAAAATGCTGAATTGTGGGGAAAATTCAAAAAATTCAACTCTAGTCAGGATTGAAACCTGGATTCGCGCTTGCCGGTCTAATGAGCTTCAGATCCAGATTAGAGATCTTAGCTGGGGTGAAGGCTTGCGTTCATAACAAACTGAGGCAGAACGCAGTTGTCCATTAAAAAGAATGAAGGTCTTCGGGGCGTCTGGTTCGATTCCTTTTGGGATGCGCAAGGATTCTACTCTCCTTTTCATTACGGACTGTCGGTGCGTATCAGCCAGTAGGAGTGCGCACACTGTTTGAAGCCGTTCTCAGCCTTTTCGTTGAAACGCGTATGCGACAAAAAGTGGTAGAAAACGAGTAATACGAAGGATATAATGCTGTCATGTCATTTGCTCGCTTCAACAACTGGTGCAGAAAGACTTTGGCACGCTTTAAGGAACGCAAGCCGCACTGACGCCGCCGCCGACCAGTCCGTAATGATGATGGAGTGTACTTCCGGGCTGAAACTCGTAGGGTTTACTCTGTCTGGCTATCGCCTAAGCCAGGACCTTGTGGGGTTTGCGATCGATGTGTAATTCTTCAATAGACAGTATGCTTTGAACCGTTGACGGTTCGAAGGATAGAAAGAAGCCTTGGTTTTGGGGTTTGCATACCCTGGGTTTAACCCCGACGAGGTGTATGTATTAAGCATCCCACTCATGAAGCTCGTTACCATCAGAGTTTCAGATTCCGAGATAATTTCTTCGGATTTTTAAGTTCGTAATAGTGTCACATTCTTGTGTTGCAGTAGGGAGAAAGAGGAACCATTCGAAACGACATACCTGGTGGCCGAGGAAGTCTATACTAAAGCCACAGTACCAAAACCGGAAAAGGTTTGTCGAAGTTTAGTCCTTGTAAAGGTGTTTGCCTTCCTGGAGTTGTTCCACACAAGCTTTCATTATGAAACTTCCAGGTATCGATTTGGTTGGGTGCAAGTATTATGGTCGAATATGAGCTCGACAAGGCAAAAGAACTACTGGTGAAAAACCAGGGAAGCGTGCAGAAGGTATGTTCGCAGAAGCAATTGTATTTAGATGGTTTCGAGGTCATGGAATTCGTTAGGAAATGCGAAAATATTATTCACACCATTCATATTTCATTTGAATGCGCAGGTTGCATGCACATTATTCTATGCAATGGTTAGCACGGCCAGAGAATATTCCGTTTTTCTGTTTTCAGACGAATCGGAGCTAATAGCAGGTTTGGGTCGGCTGGATGGTTGGTTCGCATTGATT